CCCTCCAAGCCTCCGTTAGCCTTCTGCACTACTTCGTCCCAAGTACACTTTTTCTTCTTTTTCACTAGTCCCTTCACCTGTTTTCTCTTGGCCCTGTACTTTTCCCAACTCTCCTCAGACGCCTCACTCAGGTACTGCTTGAAGACTTCTCTACGTTCCCCTATTTCTTCTTTCAGCTCGTCATCCCACCACTTAACCGATACCCCACATCGTACCACCTTCGTTCCCACTACTCTCTCTGCCGTTGCGTTCACGATGGACTCCCACCCTTCAATCACCCTGTCCTTTGTTGCTTTTACGTCTACCTGTTCGTCTTCGACGCTTCTCAGCAGTTTCCTGAAGGGTTCTACAATACCAGCCAGTCCCTTTTGGAATTCATCCCGTGTCCCCTCGTCTCCCAAACGCTCTACTTTCCACCGCAACACTTTCCTCTGTTTCTTACTCTCCATCTTTCTAGATCGGTCGATGTTTGCCCATATGAGGAAGTGGTCGGTCGAACCTATATCTATCGCACTTACGTGCAGCTCTGGGATCTGCGTGCTCCCCCTATCTACCAGGATGTAGTCGAGGATCGAGTATTCAATGCAAACTGCCCGTTGCCTGGTGAACTCCGGCTTATCGCATTCCCTCCCACCGTTCAACACCATCAGTTCGTTGCTTCCCAAGAATTCAAGCATCCTCACTCCGTTGTCATTCACTGTCTTCTCCGTGCTGCCCGATCGCCTGTCCTCTTCTGGAAGCTTTCCCTACTCTGGAGTTGAAATCGCCCACCATGACAACTTCTCCCTTCCTACTGAACCTCTGGACATCTTCCCCAATTTGTCCAAAGTTCTCCTGCGCCTTGCTCATCGGCGTGAATGCCGTAGTCGTTAGACCATTGACCTCGCGTTACTACAAAGCCGGGACGGAGCACTCCTAGTTTTCACCGGACGAGGCTGGTACATGACCAAGCGCGAAGCGCCGTGAGTTATTCGGCGATTCGCGTCAAGGTTGCGCTGCATCTTGCTAAGGGTGCGAAAGGGGAGGGCGACCTTTCATGTTTTTTTGCATGTCTTGGCGGTTTGACCATTGACCACGCGTCCCCGAGAGAACGGAGCACTGTTCCCACAGGACCGATCACCGACCGATCGTTCCTTCCTACTTTGCCAAAGGCAGCCCAATTTTTTTTCCCTAGCCTATCTGTCCTATCGATATCACTTCCTGCCTTTTTAACCCGCTGGGGGGAGGACAGTTTGCTGCTGCTAGATCACGCGGCAATCACTTGCATCGTCGATGTACCCTTGCACGGGTGCGCATTGCGCGGGTCTTTTTGTGTGCACGGGATAAGAGGACTCTCACTCGCGTTTGAAATCAGGTTCGGGTTGTGTGTTGAAAGTACAGGTAGGGACGTAGGAGTAGGATCACGGTGGTTGGTTGCGCGTTGACGTAGCCCGAACGGGTGGGTGAGACACCGGACGAGACGTTGGGGTCCCCTTGGCCTGCGCACATGAACAAAAAGAGGACGATTTATTTACCGTGTGCGGCATAGACATGGCGTGTGCCGGTTGTTGTAGTCTTTCTTGCGATGGTTCGGGACTACTCCAAGCAGGCGTGCAACCCCTTGGCTCACGAGGGCCGTGAGTGTATAGCACGGGCATTGCAAGCATCTCCACCACCGATACCAATTATTTAATGCAATAACAAAGAGCAGCAATTTTTGATTTTGGCCCTTTTGTCAGTTTTCCGCTTGCACCCGGACAAGCGGCGTAGCACGGGCACTGCAAGCACCGCCGCCACCGCCGCCACCGCCGCCAAAGCAGCAACACAACTCCAACAGTAACGACAGCGTCAACCACACCAGCAGCATGATCAAGAACAAGCACAACAAATAGCAACCATGCAGCAACCCCAACGACAATCCCAACATAGTTAAATAGCGTTGTTTTGCCTCTTGGTCGGTGTTCCACGCGGACCTGGGCAGGCGGCGTACGGCTCGGCCAATCCCCTCTACGCGGTAAGACAGCACGCGCAGTCCAGCATGCGTGCGTCTATCGGGGAGCTGGAGCTGGACGAGATTCTGCACGCGAGGTGCGTTCGCTGTCGTTATTTGATCAGAGGTTCTCCCTTGTGGGAAGCTTCACGTATGTGGTGGTACCCGATACGTTTGATCGGAGGTCTTGTTGGAAGCGTTCCGTATGTGGTGGAGCCTGGTACTTTTGATGGGAGGTCTGAAGCGTTCCGTATGTGTGGTGGTACGTGGTACGTTTGACCGTCTTGTTGGAAGCGTTCCGTATATATGGTGGTACCTGGTACGTTTGACCAGAGGTCTTGTTGGAAGCATTTGTATGTGGTTGAGCTTGGTACGTTTGATCAAAGGTCTTGTTAGAAGCGTTCCGTATGTGTGGTGGTACGTGGTACGTTTGGTCGGAGGTCCTGGGGGAGCTCTCCGTCTAGGTGCCTAATAGTACGTTTGTTCACAGGTCTTCCCTCTCCCTCTCCCGTCCTCCCTGTCTCCCCTCTCGCTCGTCAATCTACCTGTTTGTGCCGCCTTCTTGGTCAGGGCACAGCTGAACTCGATGATCAAGGACACCCTCCAGTCCGCGGCGGATGCGTGGGGCATGGAAGTGAAACGGTACGAGATCACGGAGATCACTCCAGACGCACAGATCAGCGAGGCGATGGACAAGCAAGCGGCGGCGGAGCGGATCCGTAGGTAGGCGTCTGTTTTTCATTAATAGGTTCAACCGTGTTAACCGGGTGACCAATGAAAAGACGTCAGTCTTGAAGCGGGAGCAAGAACGGGAGCTCTATTTTTTACTAAGAGGGTTATACCTAGAGGGGTGTGTGTGTGACAACTGGTCTGCGTGCAGGAGAGGTGGGAGGGCCATGCAGACTCATTCCAGCCTAGGCATACAGCGCGATGTGAGTGGGTGTGCTAGGATTGCGTGCGTAGAGGTTGCCGTCGAATCAGCGAGGTAAGCCGTTTTCCGTTCCATTCCGTCCCGTCCCATCTTCCATCTGTTCCATCCCATCCCATCCCATCCCGCAGGGAGCGAGTGCTGACAGCCGAGGGCGAGAAGAAGGCGTACACCCTGCAGTCGGAGGGTGTTAAGATCCAGCTCATCAATGAGTCGGAGGGAAAGCTCATCCAAGTACAAAACGCCGCGAAGGCGGACAAGGAGAGGATCAGGCTAGAGGCAGAGGTAGGTACACGGGCCCCGAAGACCATTCCGCAGGCAACCCAGGCCATGTAGGAGGCTCTCTTGAGCGCCTACCGTAGGTTGCGCAAGATACCACACACCCCAGACCGATGTTTTGATGTCTGGCTACCTCAAGGAAAGATATGAGACGTTTTGCGCTACTTTTCTTGATCAGCATCCTCTTGATCTAGTGCTACAATTGTGCAGGAAGGATGCGAAGCGCAAGGCCATTTCACCCCCCAAACCAAACCTTCCCACCCGACCCACCCGACCCTTAACAGGGCGAAGCAGAGGCCATTGGCGTCAAAACAAACATTCCCACCTGACCCTCAGCAGGGCGCAGCAGGTGTCATATAATCGCTAAAATTTCCAAAACCGTTCCCGCACAACCCGTAACGGGGCGAAGGAGGGGCCATTTTCGTGAAAATATGAAAACATTCCCGCCCCACCCTTGTCGGGCGAAGCAGAGACCATTCACGCTTTCTACGATATTATCCAAAAACCTTTCCCCGCCCAACCTTTTAACAGGGCGAAGCAGAGGCCCGCCTGGTGAAGGCGCAGGCCGAGGCCAAGGCGCTGGCGGTGGTGGCGGAAGCCCTGAGAGACACGGCAGGGTCGGACGCGGCCCAGCTGCAGATCGCCAAGCAGTACATCGACATGTACGGGGAGATGGGCAAGTCGTCCAACACGATGCTCTTCAGCGACCGGCCCGCGGACGTGAACGCTCTCATCGCGCAGGTAAGACAAGGGGAGAGGTGTACTAGTGTTTCGTATGCCTTCGTTGAAAATACGGTTGACCACGCGTCCTCGAGAGGACAGAGCAGGGAGGGCGGGGCTACTACAATAGTCGTCGACCGCCGGGTGACAGGTTAGGGTATCGAGGATGTTCTCAACATGCTGTCGCTCGACGTACTCAAGTGCTGCTCTTCGCTTGTATCCCTTTCCTGCTACCTTGGAGCGAGGTCCATTTACCCCACCGCATCCGCCCTTTGCTCCCCCCTCCCCCGGCCTCACCTGATGACCCCATTCTTGCACACCGTTGTTGTGCACGCTTGTACACCAGGCCGCCAAGGTGCCAGCCCCCCCCTCCCCCCCCTGTGCTCGTGTCCCCTGTCTTACTGCTCCACCCCCCACCCACCCCCGGCTTATTTTTGCCAGGCATCTGCGGTTTTGAGCTCCGCTGGGGCCGCGTCCAAGGCAGCTGCAGGCCCAGAGCCCGGGCCACCGAAGGCATTATCTGGGGGCAGCTCCTCGTGAATCCCTTTTTTGACTTGGTAATAGATGGTAGTAGAAGCACAGCACCAGGGTCGGGACCGCCCACTTCTGTTGCAGCATGCCACATGTAGAGTTCAGGGAGAATCGATCGCACCCTGTGTGAATTGAGTAAGAGATGACAATTGCACCTCGCAAGGCTGGAAGACGACGCACGCAATTATCGTGATGGAGCACGCAAGCGGTAAGGGTGAGGCCGGCCCCCCTCCCGCGCGAGCCGTACTGCATACATGTCGAGGGGTGGGTGCGTGGCGGCGAGAGGGCTTTGCCGGTGTGCACAGTAGTTTTATATCACGTCGGCGCGTGTAATGCCGACCCTGCCTTGTTTACTGTCTGTGTGCCCCCTTCTGAGAATAACTGCGCTGGAGAGGAAGCGAATAGTAAGTGGTTGGTGCAGAGACAAAATTTCTTACTTTGTTCAGATAGTAGCACCTACCATAGCGGGTGGGGAGCACCGCCGATGGCGCGGGGCGCGCGATGATCCTCACGCGGCGTGTGTGTCGTGAGAAACGAGTGTGGTTTCTCTCCACAGTCAATCGTGGGGGAAGTTCGGCGCAGGTTGGCCGAAGCGGTCGGCTAAGATCCCTCCAACACACCAGTGCGCTCGTAGAGTTGCCTTAGGGCGGAGACGGCAGCGATCTGCTGTCAAGCGTTGGGGGTGCCCCTCTCGCTGCTGCCGATTGGGATGATTGATCTTTGTTCCTGGTGTGAGAGTGATGCGTGTGGAGCAAGGCTGCTGTTGCCAGGGAAACTTTGGTCTTCGCGCAGTTGACTTGTGTCGTATCATGGGCCGGGCTTGCGCGATGTAGTCAAACACGCGCATGGAATCGGTCTGAAGTGTGTGCTGCCCACAAGTTTGTCCCACGACTGCTGTCTGCAGCTGAAAAGTGGGACGGGAATCCGCCAGGATGTACGATCGGCTTCGGTGTTGGAACTTTTATCATCTCGTTACACGGAGAACACGCAGCGTTAAGAGCCGACTGAGCATGGCAACGAGTGCACGCCTCTGCGTGTTTTGGGGGTGTGAAAGAGAAGAACGTAATCCCCGCCCTCACAAAGGATGGAAAGGAGTCGATTGCGCCGCAACACGCAGAAACCAAGCCCCCGCTACCCCGTGCCAGCACTACAGACGCTCGATTGCGCGTGAGAATCGGGTCGCTACAGACAAGAACAGCAGCAGCGGCACCCAATCGAACAGGGTATATTCCCCTGTCCGCACCACAAACGCAGCCGCTGAACGCTTAGATTTACACCAGCACGCGCAAAGGTACGTATCGGAGCCCACTCGAAACTCCTAACAACCCATTTACTGCAGAAAGCAACAACCACCTACTGCTGTAGCCCCCTGCCCTCTGTTCACGAGACCATCCATGCCTTCTCATGTCACGCACTACGAGATGATGCGTTCTGCTGACCAATTCTAGATATCCAACAACAGGACAGAAGATTAGGGCAAGGGAACGGGGGGTGGCGTACCCATGTGTTGCATGCCATGAGAGGTTAGACCATACACCGCACGTCCTCGAGAGGGGCGGAGTAATGTTCGCACAGGACCGATCACCGATGGCCGATCGTCCCTTCCGGTCTTGCCAAGGGTGGCTCGAGGGAAAGCAAGGGAAGGGGAGCCCCAGGCACAGCAGTTCTTCGGCGGATTGACTCGAAGTGCTCATCTCCACCCTTCCATCTCGTCAGGCTCGAGCCGTTTCTCGATGCGCTTCACCGTTTCCATGTCACCTGACAAGGCAGGCCGACCATGCGTTAGGTGTTTGGGTGAGACAAGCTCGAGAGAAGTGATTGGTCGATCAGGAACAGGCAAAGTTTCGGTTCTCGTTTCGTCCTGCCCAAAGCCCCCCCCAAAAGCACGCCGATTCAACAGAAGTGATAATACTCAAGAGGTTGGCTGCATGAGAATAAGCCCAGCTGTGTTAGGTTTCCACCATGCATGAAGCTCCCCTTTCGAGAGGAAAGGTACGCGTGAACCGTATATGTGAAACCTCACAAGCAAGAAGTCGTTCGCGTCTCTCACCGTCGCTGTTTGCCTCGATGCCATGGCTTGCGGACGTCTTGTTCTACCTTTACCAATCTTCTCGCGTAAAAACCTTCCACAAATGCTGTGACACAGGTCCCTCCGCTCCCCCGCCGACACGACAGTTCGGAAATAACCACAACAAACATGAACACACAAAAAACAGGATCCCAACAACACAGGATGACGCAGCGTGCCGATAGATAGGCACAAATGTTGTGTCACGCGTCATCCCGCTCCCCTAGATTTCCCCCGCCGACAACCACGAAAAAAAAATATATATATATACTTCGAAGTAATACAAAAAATGAGCCACATAAAAAAGACCATTCAACGTACTTGCTTGCACAAATCATAATGTTGTGACTCGCGTCATCCCGCTCCCCTAAACTTCTCCCACCGATATCTAGATAAAAACAAAAAAAGAAGGATCCCAACAACGAATTGCAAGGACGACGCACCGTGCTTGTAGGCGTTCTGCATCTTGGCCCGCAGCAGGTCCTGGCTCTGCATGCTCTCGCGCTTGGAGCCCGTGATGGAGGCCTTGACGAGGTTGTCGAACTTGGCGTTCGCCGCCTCCCTGGCCCTCCGCTTCTTGAGGTTCATCTCCATCTCGTCCTCCCTCATCGACAGCGCGTCCCCCGATGCGCGCCGCTTGGCCTCGCTGGCCTTCTTGCCTGTGGTATAAAAAGGAACCAAGGTAAAGAAGGACAGAGAGGCGCGTTCGTTCGTTGTTGAGTTGTCGGAACACAGCACTGTTGTAAGTCAACTGGTGCAGTGGCGAGAGAAGGAAATAATAGTTTGGTGTGCTGTTTAGTTAGTCCGCGCGCGGCACTATTATAAGTCAATGGACACGGGGAGGAACAATAGTCACTACTGCTGTGCTCAGGGAAGGAAGAAGGACAGCAAGCAGCGTGTTCGCTCGCTTTCAAGTTAGTCCGCACAATGCGCTGTCGTTGTCAACAAACAGAAGGAGGTAGAAAGAAGCGCAATCGTTCGACGTTAAGCTAGTCCGCACACGAGCACCATGAATAGTCAGTACACACAAGGAGGGAGTAG